TTGCAGAATCTGTGAAATGTAGTTGCCCTTTAGTATTCCCCAATTTTCCCAGTACCATTGTAGATGTCCACCCACTGTCGACGGTTGTACGGGAACTGCTGGGGGTGGAAGACTCCAGTCGTTCCAAACCCCATCTTCAACGTCTAGTCTCTCTGGAACCTCTGGGAGCACGTCCTCTCCCAGAGGCAAATCTTGTATTCCCGGCTGGACCACAAAAGGAGCCTCTCGCACCTCTTGAACTGGAATATTTCCTCTCTTTGGCCTTCTGTACCTCGCGAACTTGGACTTGTTACGGTAGCGGTGAGAGGTCTGACGGATGACATTCGCTAAGGTGTCGATCGACTTGATCATCATCACTTCCCTTGAGTTGTGCGTGACTTCCCTGGCAATATCTTCGATTCTTCCACCAAATATAGTAGGCGCTGACCATGGGGCTCTAAGGAGTGGCTTGGTGTATCTTTCGCTCCATGAGCATGATGATAGACGACCTTGTCTTCTTAAGAGGGTGAGGCCGGCAGATGTAGACACCATATGTTCCGAGATGAAATGTTGATCTCTCTTCTGGGTAAGCAGCGCTGAAAGGATCATCCTGTCTTCCTCCGATCGTGAGTTCTGGAACTTTGAGATGAGCGCCTCATTGATTGCTCTGGATCTTGCTAGGCCGAAAAAGGTTCGCCTGGTAGTGGTGTCCAACTGCGCAATCTTCTTATCATCTACTTTATAAGTCTTGCTGCGACTATCGTTGATAAGCCTGTAATTTTCATCCAAGTCCGTCGCTCTCATAAACGGCTCCATGTGGTGTAGAGGAAATCTCTGTGCATTGAATGTCGGAACATGTTGATTCTGGAACTTCGTCGCTCAGTCGAACGCTGCGCTGGGCCTTGCCTGGACTCCTACAATAAGCTCTATAGGTGGGAACGTGAGAGAGTCATCCTCATTCAACATCTTGTATGTGAGGACTTCATTCGGGCTCTTTGTATGGAGATGCTAAGTCGAGACCATTCGCGATCCAAGATGTAACTTCCGCATCGGAAAATATCCCATCAAGTTCATCTGTTTTGTGTGTCACTTCCTCATCTGACGAACTGTGCCTTCGCGAATCCCTGCGCGCATGCTCCGTTTGTGAATCCTCCTTTCTTGAATCTTCCTTTCGCGAATGCTCCATCTGCATATGGTGATTCTCCCTGTAGACAGGTGATGCTGATCTGTAACTGTACGATCTGACATGGTGCGTTCGCGCCTTAATGGGGATCCTCTTGAACTGGAACGGTGATGTTCTCAAACTGCATTGTCTTCAATGACGTTCGCTGAACCTTCACGACTGCAGACAGTAGATTCTTCTGTCGGAGAGGACCTTCTCGAATGTTGACGTCAACTGATGATGTTTTCTGGAGTGGGGGGTTCCCGTCTGGAAACTGCTGTTGTAGAAGACTGCTGCAATGCCTTCTCTTCGGCGAACTGACGATCCATCAGAGACAGCATCTGTTGCATGAACTGCTTCATGAACGCTCCTGGGTCGAAGTTCTGCGCTGACTGCTGAGACTGTTGCGCAGAGTCGACGACGCATTCGAGAATGTTGAATCCTCTTCTAGTCTGTGTTGTAGCTGCAGCGAAGAGACACTGCTGCTTCCTGTAATACCAGAAGTCTCTAGTTGTCTGATGCACTGATGAAGATGCCAAAGATGAAGTTCTAGTTGAAGACGTCCGCTGCGACGATCTGCTAACAACTGTGACTTCTGGCAGCAAAATAGGAGGGTCATCAAAAATGTCTGCTTCTGCAGGTGGTACTATCTCTTCATTGAAGGACTTCTGATGCGCAGTCTTACTAGCATCGGATGACTTCGAAGAATACTACGACGCTGACGTCTTCTTCTTCTTCTGCAACCCAGTTGAAGACGACTTCTGCTTCTTAATCTGCGATGATGTCAGCTCTGATGAAGATGCCCTCTTCTTAGATGCAGTCATATCTATCAGGATAGAGGCATGCCCCTGCAACAAAATCAGCAAATCACTGGAAACATGAGTTTCAGCTGTAGTTTGCAACACACGGTTACTCATGTTATCTCTTGATTTATCAGCCATAACTTGAGACGACCTCCGCACTTTGTCCTTAGTATGTCCAGGGATACTCTACAACAGGGATAGGTCACTCGCTTGCTTTCTTTACCATTTGTACTAATTAACGTGTGCCTCGTCATGCTCCAACGCACACAGTGACTTGGTTCGGTCCCAGCGCAACTTCGGCTGCGTTTAACAGTACTTCAGCCAGTGTATTGTATAGGTCGGAATTTTACAATGAATGAATGAATGAATTAAGAGCAAGAATTTTATGTGAATGAATGAAAGAAATTAAGAAAAAGAACATATGTGAATGAATGAAAGAATAAATGATACACCACGGCCATCCCTCCCCAAACATGTTAAAGAACGAAAACTATCGGTAGAACACATGTTAACATCAGCTGTCCTTTTTATAAAAAATCTACTTTGAGACATTTTTTACATTAGTAACTAATTCAGATATCTTATTGCATGTGTGGAATGACATGGGCATTGACAGAATGTTAACTGACACTGTCACAGACCCCTCAAGAACAGAAAGTTTAGAACTATCACAAAGCCTTGCAAACACCTTTCCAGTTTTGTCAAATACTAAGATCAACAAGAAAGAAAGAAGTTTTAGAACTATAACACTCAAGCATCACAAGCACCAATGGTGTATCAGAACAGATCGGCGATATGTCATATTTTTCACACACCTCAAATACACACTAACAAAAAAAATAAAATAAAACTATCACTATTACTTGCAAAAAACTTTCACCTGATGGTATATTCCCCTCATAAAAATTAAAGGTGTATGTGAAAGATGTTTTAGAACAATAACTAGAAACACTCAAACAACGCCCTGTAGTATTTCAATGGCAGATCGGTGATATGTCATATTTTTCACACACCTCAAATACACACTAACATTTTTTTTTTAATTATAAAACTATTACTATTACTTGCAAACACCTTTCACCTGATGGTATATTCCCCTCATAAAAATTGAAGGTGTATGTGAAAGATGTTTTTGAACACTAACTAGAAACACTCAAACAACGCCCTGTAGTATTTCAATGGCGATATGTCATATTTTTTACACACCTCAAATACACACTAACAATTTTTTAAATTATAAAACTATCACTATTACTTGCAAACACCTTTCACCTGATGGTATATTCCCCTCATAAAAATTGAAGGTGTATGTGAAAGATGTTTTGAACACTAACTAGAAACACTCAAACAACGCCTGTGTAGTATTTTAATGGCAGATCGGCGATATGTCATATTTTTCACACACCTCAAATACACCCTAACAAATTTTTTTTAGTTACAAAAATATCACTATTACTTGCAAACACCTTTTAACAAAAGGTATATTTCCCTTCTAAAAATTAAACGAATATGTGAAAGAAGTTTTTAGCGATATAAGTTAGTCTTTCTTCGCTGTGTACTGAGAATTGAAGCCAGTGAGCTACAACATGCCCACTTGAAACTTTACTACAAAGCTACTGTACTTATACTGACACTAATAACAAGTATTTGACTTAAAATGAAGTGACAGAATAGGTAACTTATCTTCTACATGTAGGTTTTCAGTTGTCACAACACTCAGCGTATGTAATCAGCTGTTGAAAATAAACCGGGCTCAATCTTAAAAACTACGCTGCCGCCATATTGGCTGCACTGGTCACGTGACGAGCCGAGGCATAGCTTAGGAGCTTTCCGAGGAGTGACCACTCCCCCTTATAGAGTCTCCCTGGTATGTCTAAATAAAGCTAACAAATAATTATTCAATTGCAGCATAGATAAATCAGCACAAAATTTGCAGAGAGAGCTGGAAGAGCATTCATTAGTACAAGAAGGACATAGGGGGTGCGGATCAGCCGCAGAGGGCCGGTGTCTACACTGAGAACACGATTTCATCAAATGTAAACAAAAAATACAAGTGATGAAAACAACATTATTTACAAATAATTTCACATAGTTTCTATATACAATGAATAATAATGCAGACCGAAAACCGTATACGGCAAAATTTAGGCTAAATGATAAGAAAACAAAAGGATATAGTGCCGTATAGGGACTCCCAAGTTCCCACAATCATCCACTTGGGCGATGGAGGAGAGAGAGACAAGTATGGTTGGTCATATGACTGTTTTGGCGGGAAAGTATGCAAGGGAGGCAACTCATGGGTGAGTGTTCTTTTACGTCCTCTTTAAGGGAACTACAAGGGATTTCAAGTGTTCCACTATCATTCGCATAGGAGGAGGAGACAAGCACATTAAGCATGAGTCATGATAAGGAAAAATTTGTAGTTGCCCTAATATATGTGTTTTTCATGCCAAGAATCATGGGTAATATGTAGGGGAATCCCCAACTTAATGAAGGTTTTTCAATCTCACCAACCAAAGAGCTCGCTATCCTAGCTAGGATTGGTAGCTCAAGTTAGGACAGGGATAGGATTGTTTCGAGAATGGGTCTTATCCTAACGGTAGGATGTCCTAACTCCTAGGATCTGTCTTGGCTGGGACACTTTCGAGAATAGACACCCAGGCTTTTTTCGCTTTTTCATGTTAGTTTAGTGGCTTTTTGGCATTAGACTAGGTTACTACTTTTCATTCAAAGTTCTTCATTTTTTTCACAGAGAATCATGTTAAGTTGCTCATAAATCATCCATAGTTTTCTCATTTGTAATAGTTATCACATTTAGTTCCTTGTTTAGGCCAAGGTAAGAGTTTCAAATTTAATTGATTAGTTTCCAGTTACATTTTAGATAAACTCTGCACATGTTAATTCCACTGCGCAACAACCTCTGTGAATATTTGTAGTTAACCTGATGTATATTTACTGTTACCCCTGTGTAAACCTGTGAACCATATGTTCAATTTTAGTCACTGGGTTTTCCTCAGTTGGTCAGTGTTTTCATTTCTTGATAATGCTTTTCGTACCTTCTACTCTCAGAAATTGCACGGTTATAGAAGTCATCAATCCTCTTCTCATCCAAATTATCAGAGGCTGTCAGCTTCCCAGCATTCTGAAACACAATACACACAACATAAGAGTATAATCCTCATACATCAGAGAAAAGTCATGTCACAGCACTGTTGTTCACCTGGCTATGTAGTCAACCTTTCAAAAAGTATACTCTGACAGACACATTACAGAAAATGTTGGCAGCATCTTTAGTATATGTATACTAAAAACAAACTTCACTTAATTGTGTTAAACTGAATGAAATTTGATGTTATTAAGAAGAAACACATGCCAAAGTTTAGTTTCTTCAGTGTGGCAGTTCCAGAGATGTTTCCAGAACCAAAAGTGCAAGGTCAAAATTTTAATAACTTGACCTTGGGACATGTGTTGTGTTCCACAACAAACTGCTGTGTTGTTCAAACTACTGGAGATGGGTGTAGTAGCTAGATGATTTAAGCAACTAGACCTATTTTTGAAGAAGCGACATGCTCTGTGAAAGACAACAGCTTTGAAAGCGATTCACTTCCAATAACAGCCAGAGTATAACAAGGATTGAAATTCTAGCTATCACTAATCACCATATATATATTCATGGAAATGAATAAGGGAACACATGAAAGTACAAGTGTTCCTTTATTTTTTTCCAGAATTTCAGCCTCAGTGCAATACAAAGCTTGTGAAGAAATTTGGAAAATAATAAAGGAACACTTGTACTTTCAGGCCATATATAACATGACTATTTTTTATTAAAAATTTGGCTTATGGGAGACAAAAAACAGGCCAGTTTTCTTCATTTTGACTTATATTTTACAAATGTTTTGATGAAAACATGTTGTGTGTTAAATACTAGTCAAACTGGATGAACAGAGGTTTATTAATCTGATTGCCAAATATTTCGTGAATAAATCCCCTGAAATTGTGATTTTGGTAATTTGTTTTCAAGCAGTATTTTCTTGTGTTACCTACGAATACAGTTTTCAATGACTGTCAATTTATGTAAATGCAACACAAGGTTATGTTTTGTATTACTTTTTACAGCATCAGTATGTAAAGTACTCAAATGCAATGACATTACATAATATTTCTCAAAGTAATAATCTAAAAAAATGTTAGCAAATCAAAGTCTGATTTGGTAAAAAAAATCATGTTACCTACAAATACCATTAAATATGTTGCGGTTTCCACAGGCGAACACATTAGTGAATGATATCCTAAGTTCAAGTGCAAAGGGCCACAAGATATGCGTGCCACATCTGAACATTTTCTGTGCTGAATTTACAAAGATATCACACAAAATAACCTGTAATCGTAGGTAAATTTTAACTCCCAAATGTTACCTACAAGTACCAACAACTGATCACATTCAGCGGATTTCAGAGACTTGTTTTAGCTTCTTTCAAATGATGTCCTTTGTTAGAGTGTGTTTTCAGTTACTATTCAGAACAAATGTATTATGTTACCGACGAATACATAAAAATACCAAAATAGTTCAAGCATTTTGAACATATGTGATGTGCTTTCTTTGAATACAAATGTCAATTGACACATTTGGTAAATAAAATTTAAGGTGTAACGATTTTAGTGCAATTTCTATTTCCATCAGTCAAAATGACATTGCTACTTTCCGACATACACCGAGACAAAACAAAGAGAAAGTCTTAAACTGGTTGTAAACAGTCTTTATTCACATGCAGTGTTTGCCCTAGGCATACAAATTTAAGAGTGATCATGACTCCCTGGTGTCATGAGACAGAGAGGGAGTCATGGAGATGTTTTTTGGGAGTCATCTTCAGTTTGGACCTTTCATCAAGTCATCAACAGTGATTGTTTAATAACGACAAAAAACAAGGTAAGGCAGGTCAGGTATTTAATCAGCACTGAGCAGTTAACTGGCAAACATTTAGTTTTAGAAGTTTAGATTTATCTGAACTAAGGGCCCAGTAGCATTGCGTCAAAGATGACACAAGCTTCTAAATTCACTGTGTATTTGAGATAATTTGTGCGTCAAATACACAGGTTTTCTGCGTCAAGGCAAACACTGCACATGTCCTATGCATTTAGATAAACAATTTCCAAACTGTTCAATGTTTTAATAAACCAGCTATGATTTAGTTTGACATATAATAACATTTATTAAATACAAGGAATTATGTGATATTTGTTACCTACAAGTACAATTTTTTTGTCTTCCACACAAAATTTAGTTTTTTGATGCATTTTCAAATTTGTTGTACTTAGCAAAAGTTCCACCCGGTGGCTCCCAGATGAATAAGATTGATATGTAACAATGATTTGTTTGTGAAAAGAACACTAAGTGGTGCTATCTCACTTACACCAAACAAACGTACCAAAATGGTTCTATTTTCATAAAGCTTGAGGTTATAAAACATGAAAGAAACCATGATATGGCTTCAGACTTTCTACAGTCATTAACATATTGTGCATGCAGAACAAAAGTGAATTTGGATGTAAGGCAATCCATCTAATTACAGGATATACAAGATATGCTGTTGGCATAGTAGTATGACCAGAAATTATTGAGAATTTTATGAATATGTTTAATTGGATTTCTAGTATAAACAACCTTGACCAGCTATCAAGTGCTTGGTTTCATTCAAGAGAGACAACTCAGTTAATCCTTTTTCATTAGTTGTGAAGAGTTATCCCCCTTTGTTTACTTGCTAGCAGACAACATTTTCAGTGATCCTCAGTATGACGGATTTAGAGAAGAGGAAGTTGATATTAGAGTATTATAACAAGGACATCAGATCAGCTAAAGTGATTTGAAGTAGAACAGGCATCCCTTTGTCCACTGTTTATCGTGTTTTGAAAAAATATTGCAAATGGATATGGCATTGAGCACCAGGGGGGCGCAGGTAGGCCCAGAAAATTGACTGTCGGTGACAGGAGGCGGAGACAGAGTGACAGAGTTTAGAAAACTTAAGGCTGGATATGATTGATAGAGGAACTGTGGCTGTCTGTAAGGAGACAATTAGAACTGAGCTGCATGCAATGGGTTGGCAGAAAAGTCGAGGAATTACCTCAGCGATCATGAAACCTGAACAAAAGGAGCAAAGGTTGAACTGGTGCTTACAGCATAGAAATTTTAACTGGGACAATGTGATTTTCTCAGATGAAAGTTCTGTGTGGCTGTTTCCTAATACACTGAAATTCTGGACCAAACAAACTAAAAAATCTTTGTATCAGCGCCCAAAGTACAGTCCGAAATTTTTTACGTGTGGGTTGGCAGGACAACAACCCAAAACACCGTTCAAAGCATTCACAGGCCTGGTTTCCGACCTAAAATATGACATTATTAGATTGGCCAAGCTATAGCCCTGACCTAAATCCAATAGAAAACGTTTGGGGACTTATGAAGGAAAGTGTCAATAAAAAAATTCTGACAAATATTGCTGAAATGAAAGAAGGGGTGGTCCGATATTGGGACAGCATGGACCACGACTTTCTAACTTCTTGGATCAGTAGTATGCCCTGCCGCATTGAAGCCTTCATTGCTGCCCATGGTGACTTGACAAAATACTAACTGTTCACCTGTCTTTGAATCTGGAGTTATGTTCTGCTAATATTCACATTTAATACGTGAGTAATGAGTGAAAAAAAAAAAAAATTACAGTCTTTAAATTCTCAATAATTTCTGGTTGTACTGTATTTGTAGGTAATTAAGAAAATGAGCCTTCAACTTCACTGATCCACCAACTTGTCACTTTTAGAGATTAGTGATGGCAACTGATTTTCATAAGAGGCAAATATGTTGACTTTACATTGGTAAAAAGAATTACAAGGTGCAAGCAATTCTGTTTTGGACACCCTATACCTAGCTGTGTACACTTTTCGTTGAAATCGACCATATAAACAATCTTGCTAAAGACCACATCATCTATGTTCTGTTTCATGCTCATGATATTGTGCTTGTGGCTCCACATGAAGAGGCCCTTTAGAAATGAATAAGATCCTAAATGACTTGTCTGGAGAAAAAAAAATGCATAGGTGCATTTTCACGAATTTAATCTGCTAACTTTAAAGTGAGATAACACATGTAATTCTGGATCAGTTGCAGCCACATTTCATAGTATAAAAGATCAAATGTCTGTTAACTTGTATGGCTTATAAAAAGTTCGATAAGTGAAGGCGTCCGTTCCCAGTTGGGCGTTGTCTTCAATATCTGTCGTGGTCACAATGAGCCCCCAAAACTGCTCTGCACCATCTCTGCATGGACTGAATAAATCTTTGAAGTCAACCATGTGGAATTCCAGCCCATTCCTTGTGCAATGCCTGTGACAGTTGCCTGTTGACATTCACATACGCGTAGGAAGAGGTCATTCCACAAATGTTCAATGGGTGTGAGGTCAGGCAATTTGGAAGGCCATGGAAGCACTGTAATGCTGTCATTCTGTAGATATTCAATAGTGGCATCTGCTGTGTGAGGCCTGGTATTATCTTGTTGGAACACCTCCCTTTGGTGGTCAATGTTCGGAATAATATGTTTTGAACCTTCATAGAGTGAGGGCCAAGCCTTGCATGAATGTCACTGCAAGCTCCAACCAAAGAATGACACTGACTTTTGACGGGAAATATGTTCCCCTTTTTGGGCTTTTCAGTGATACCCAGTTTTACGTCAGACACAAATCAGAGCCAGAAAACACACTGACCCAACTAGGTCTTGATATTATGTGCAAATTCATGTGAAGCATGCTAACTCTGTGCTTTCTGCACTGCAGTTGTGATTTTACTTATCAACCACTGTGCCAAGAAACATGACTTGTCTTCATGTTCCAAGACAAGGCATACTGGTACCACAAATATACAACTACAACTATGTTAACAATCAAAAAGGCAAAAAGAATAATAATGGCCTATTCTCAAGGGCTTGAAAAAAAAACACCAAAAAACTGCAACATGTCATCAAGACACAAACATATTACTTGTGCAAAAGCAGATGAAAAAATGATAGGGGATTACATTGTATCCCAGTATCTGCATTTAAACCAAATGCTAGAGAGGTATCCATTTGTTTAAAAGCATAAAACATAAATAACATTC